GTAACACAAGATGAAACAAACATTTTGCCATTACTCGCCAAATGTTTTTTGATAAAGTGATAAAAAATTTAACCACTTATTGTAAAATATCTAACTAAATAGCCTGAAAAGATTAAAATGTGTTGAATAATTTTAGAAAGCTAATATTTTTATATCTGTTTTGTACAAGAAGACCAATGTTTTAAGAATTCCATGCACATCTTTTTAATTTAAACGAGGGATAAAAAATAAACTTTATTATAGGAATTTAAAAAGATCTATTAATTAATCTCATTCCATAACCAAAAATTAACAATACATGAATATTACGGAACATTTAATCTTAACCATAAAAAAATCATAGAAAAAACTATCATAGGAAGAAATAAGTTGACATCAATTATAATTTAGAAACTTACGGCTGATTCTCATTGCTATTACATTTCGTCCTTTGCTTGCTGCCATTCTCTAATGAAAGGATACCACATGCTAATTCTTTTTTTTTTATTTCCAATCCTAAAAGGCCTCTGGAGTCCTTACGCAATAAAATATCAATAAAATATAGTATATAAACGTACAGATAGAATTCAATAGCAGCACTAGAATTAAAATATTGTTACGTTTTTCTTTTTCTGACGCCAGTTGTTACGTAATTGTCTTTTCCTTTACGGAGTTCGTGCAGATTTGGAGTGAATAACGAGGACAGCACTTGATGGAATATCGAAACACACTTTATTTAGCCAATAGTAATCAGGACAGCTCCAAAGTCACGTTTTACAGTCGTCGAAGAACTACTATAAACACGCTGGAACAATCAGCGACACAGCCTTCAGATTATCAGGTTAAAACGGCGGAGACAGCTTCACGGCAAAGCACTAGAGTACAGCTCCCAACTCTGATTGGTTGTTCTCGGAACCCCACGTACTCTCGAGACTCTCCACGCTACAACTCGCGTTGCACTCGACGATACACAAGAGTATAGCTCTCTACTCAGCACAGTCTAAGGCAAAACTCGACGATGCACTAATTCGCGATACACTAAAAGACTCTCTCGATGCACTCGACGACCAACTCGGCGCTAGACTTCGAGACACTCGCTCAATGACTGACTATCAGCTCGCTCGACAAGGCACACACACTGACTGCGGACCAGCAGGGTTTATATAGCTTTCGGCTTGTGTTCGAGAATATTCTGGGCTAAACCGGTAAGAATTCGTTCCAGAAGGTTCTCCATCCGTCCATGGCATATCGCAAATTTTGTCGCCAAATGGGCGATTTATCACCAAATGTGGCAACCCTGCACTCTTTGCTATTTTATGGCAACCCTAAACTGCTTTGCGGGAAAGCCATCTCACCGCGCCTGTACATTTCGTAACAATATAATTTTAAAAAAATGCCTAACAATGTTGCACCTGATTTTAAAGGATTCAAAAAATAACCCCATAAGCATTGCGCAAATCCACACATTTCAATTTTTTCACTTGCACTGTAATATACTATTGCAGTTTTAGGTCATTAACTTTAATCTATAATTTTAAGACATAGAACAATGTGAAAATTTTAAATAAGTAACAGACGAAATGACAGCGTCATGTGCAAAGCAGCTAAAATGAACGTTTATATTATAAAAAGATTGCGTCGGAAGTTTTCGTTTTTAATTTATCTGTATTGCCTTATCTTATCTATTTTCAGATATATTGCGTAAAAATATTTGGTAATTGTAAAATTATTATAATAAGTTAAGGAAATATAAAAACTGCTAAAATTTTTGGCGACCCCCTGCTGCAGGTCCCACGATCGTCATGGGAGTCGCGACCCACAGTTTAAGAAACTCTGGAATAGAGAACTCTCTTTTAGAGCAGAACAAAAGAAAAAGTGATCCTATTCATGAGCCAGGAATAACAGAAGGCCGAGCTTTGAAAATCAGGAGGCAAATAGTTAGAGAAACAAAACTGATAATTTAAAATATGCTGGTTTAAAATAGTTCAATATTTAATAGCCTATATTCAGAAGAGTACCTAACCTTTTATATTGTAGAAAACAATTAATATAGTTCTAACAAAAATTACAATAACAATTAAACTGAAACTATGTATTAATGTACACTGATATGTGGACGGAAATAATGTTGTTACGGATTTCAGATTTTTACATCTGTGTCTGAAAGTGTATTTCACTTTTCAAAGAACTTCATTAAGCGAATCATTTCTTTTCTGGAAGATACTCGCTCGTTCATAAGAAAAGTCATCTTTTTTCTTTTTTTCTCAGTGTACTTGTATGAGATTTTTCAGCTATAACTTGACCTTTATACTTTTATGTAATATTAAAATTTTGATAACGGATAATTGCCTGCTTTCAAGAATTCTTATTTTCAACTTCAAGAAACTGTCTAGTTTTTACAACTCTCAACACCTTTTTCAGAAGGCACTACGTAAAACCTATCTTGGGTTCAACTTTTTAATCTCTTAGCATGAACTAAAGTGTCATATTATGATGCGAGGGATTTCTTACCACAAGATTTCTAAGCTTAAAGCAAACAGACAACAGAAATATCGTAATTTTAAATTTATTCTATCTCATCACGTTTGAGGATGAAATTAAAATACACAACTCAAATTGCCAGTGTCATGGACCTGACTTAAATGACTTAAACACAAGCTTCCTTCAAACTGCTATAAATTCAAATAATTTAATCTAACTCTCTCGGGAGCCACAAGTGTCGCCTAGTACCGTAACAGAGATTCAAGCCTTTAACTTACCAAAACTGATTCCGTCCTGGCACAGCGTTATGCTCAAGACCAGCTTTGAAGTCTCCAAGAAAACATAAAACTTCGCGCGACAGAACAGCGTCGGCGAACAGGCCAGAACTCTCACATGCCCCTATTCTTCTAACATATTACAAAACTGCTTGCTATTCAAATCTACATAAATTCTGGAACCTCGTGAGAGAGATAGGAACGAATATAAATTAAATAACAATTTGTTTATGTACTTAAAAAAATGCCACGGTTGTTCTCCTTGTTTATCTTCCGCTGTCCCTCCACATGACCACCATTGATAAATTTCTTAATCCAGATTATGACTTCGTTGCTTTTCCGTTATTGCAATACCGTAATATTTATTGAGGTTTTAGACCACTCCTGCGTAACATATGATATCGCGCGATGTCAATCAGCATCGCATCACATGAGTATTTTATTTATATGTGTGTACCAGAACAATAAGTGACTGAGTTATATTAAAACAGTCTGTTGCTGCATGCTTCTACTGTTGAGAAAAAGTGATTGTAATAAAATTAATGGAAAAAAATCAAATTAATTACAAAAAGTTATCATTTTAAGCCACTTTAAATAAAAAATTATATCGATACATTTTATTCTCTATATTCAGAATTTTAAGCTTATAAAAAGTATTCTTTCGGGTCGACGACAACAGCTTTTTTAATTCAATCTGTTTCTTATGTATTGTTAAGTTAATTTAGCAGAGCATTTTATTCACAGTTTTTCAGTTATGAATTTCCATTCTAACATTCGCTACTTCCAGATGAGCACATTTTTCGTATTTTTCAATACCATATTTTCTTATGTATTTTTTCATCTCGCTCATAAGAGCAGGGATCTAAAATTTTAAAAATATTCCCGTGATTTTCCCATTTCCCAGTGCGTTCAGAGAATGAGCTGCCCTAAATTTTAAAAAAAATGTATTCCTCCATGTAGTAATAGTTTTCATCTTATTAGCGAAGACAAAGCCTCGCAAAATTTCTGCGTAGGTCGCACAGAAACTTTTCCTTCTAACTGTAGAAATTTATGCCATCCTAATACAAAGACCAACCCATCAGAGCGAAGCAAATACGAACTGCCATTCCGTCTGCTATTTCGGTCAGCTGCACATTCACTTCTCTGATTATTTATGTATGGTTTGATGCCTAAGGATACCAGAGACAATAATAAGAACAGGCAAGATTAAAGTTACTGAGAAGTAGAAACGAAGCTATTTATTAGATATTGTAATGTTAATATTACTATGCATTTTTATATAAATGTAGGTTTCTTGTAGATAAATAACATTGCGATAACTATCTGTACTTTATCAATGATTACTGTTTTGTTATGTTCTTACTGTAACCGTGTCCTTCGAAAATTAAATTACGGGCATAATTTTTCCCTCTCAATTTTCAGACCATAAAATTAGTTTAAAAGAAGAGAGAGAATAAAAAATATTGCGGCAGGAAATACGGTATTTCCTTCATCATTTTTCGTAGTAGAATTCTATGCTTTCCTCATTATATCACAATTAAGAAGTATTTATTAAGGTTCAACTCTGTCTGATATTGATAAATATCTCTTTCGAAAGAAAAATAATATAGCATGTATTTGTAGTACCGCGAAACCCCGCTATAATGAACTTAAGTGAACCGAAATCTTGGTTCGTTATATCCGATTCGATAAGAAAAATAGATTATTTTTCAAAAAAATAAAGAAACTGAATAAATCGCAAAACGACTGATTATCATATTTCATCTACCAAAAAAAATGAATAACTCTAAAAATGGGTATGAAGATAAAAGAATAATAATATAAAGGCATTTTTCGCTATATTAATAAGTTAAATACTTATGATTTTAAATGTTAATTATTTTTCATTTAAAACTTGCAGAAATTCTGGAAAGAAAATTATTAAAGGTACAAAAATCGCTTCAGCCAAAGATATCTATAAGGTTCATTATATCCAATTTTCTATGTTTGGAGGTTCGCTACAGCCGTATGGAATAATATAAGTGTATAAGAAATTAGACGGGGAAAAAACATTCGTTCGATATATCCATTAGTTCCCTGTAGCGAAGTTCGAGTATATTACTCAGAGCATTTTGGCGTGAAATTTATTTTCCTTTTTCTCAGTTCCTTATGCTAATTTTTAGTGTAGTAGTAAACAAGAGGAAAATTTATAATTTTTTTTTTTTTGTTTGTTTTCAGCATTATGAGAAATTGTTTTATTTCAATGTAGTTTTATTATTATGTTAGGTGTTCATGGAACCTTTAAAAAAAATCCAAGTTGAAGGCTTTGCCATGTTTGCAGAACCAGAAGTGCTTTTTGGGAATTTAGATGAACTCTGTGTCGTAAGTATTTCTTCTTATAACTTTACAGTACAAAATGCAATCAAATGTTAAATTATAATTTCATGAGGGTTTGACTGTTTTCTGTCGTAATACAGTTCTAGAAACTGAGTATTTTTATGTGAACTTCAAGACAACAAGAATCGGTCTCCTATTATAATTGCAAACAGAAATCAACCTAAGGAAAACATAAAATGCAATAAAATGAATATTGTTTATCTCATTAATTGCAATAGGTATATTACGTTTAAATCTTGAAATATCACTTGCAAAATATTATATGATATTCGAAATCATTTTAGTTACTTAAACATACTTCCAAACTCTGAAATTTACATATACCTCAACGACAGTTATACGAACTTCAGTTATACGATGTATAACTGAAGTCCTAGTTATCCAAATAACTTTTGAAGCCAAAGGTAGCTAAAATTATTTATTGGCATAATAAAATAATTAATGCTGTGTCAAGATCATGACTGATCATGACTCTTTTTCTAACAGCAAAATATAAAAGTTAATACAATGTCTCATAAGATATAAGAAATACAGAAAAAAAGGGAAATAAAAAGGTTGTAAGAATCTTCAGATTTTAACTGAAAACGACATTTTTAAAAATGAATTATCCAAATAATTTGTAAATATTACCTTTCCAACATCTCATTTAATGCTTAAGTGGCATTTACATTAACTTCCAGTTTAATGTACAACATGTACAAAATCTACTACAAGACTATCTCTATGTAGAAAAGTATAAACTAGATGTTGTCATAGGCAGCTGACAATTGACATCGCACATTTTTTTTTCTATTGTAAAATTTACTACTTATATGGTTTTCTCAGTTTACATATTAAACCTGATTCCACCATATGACAGGGTGTTTCAAATTGAATGGGACAAAAAGAAAGCATAGCCGTGAAAATTGTAATTAGTTTATTTTGATCAACCAAATTTACAGTGAAACTGTAGTTATCCAAGATTCTATAGATACTCTATGTGTGCCCCTCCGGTAACATGGCAAATATCTATGCGGTATACCAATTCCTGCCACACTCGTGATAGACTATACTTTGTAAAAGATTCGAGCACTTCAGTTATCCGCAGCTTACAATTCCTGTAAGTCCTGGGGAAATTAAAGCACGAACACTTTACTTTGTCTTGCCCCATTGAAAAAAATCACAAGGGGAAAATCATCTGGACATCTTGGTGGCCAACAAACCAATTGACATATCGTTTGACCCAGCCCGGCCAATCAAGCGATGGGGTAAGGCTGTCGTTGAGGTGTTGCGTAGTATTGCCAGTGTATGCGAGCACCGCATACACTGGCAGAGTGTTGCAGAGGGAAGGATTGCCACCTATCGAAAGTGCAGATTATCGTTTCGAGATATCGCCCGTCGCACTGGTCAACATCCAACCACTGTCATTCGAATATGGAATCAAATGGGTTGCTGAGGGTTATATTGAACGGCATGCAGGTTCTCAACGCCCTCAGCCCTGCAAAACCGTACGACCACATCACGGACCATTAGTCAGGAAATGGGCATGTTTGCAGCACGTCTAGTAACCGCTCGTAAGGTGCGTCGACATTTCAGCCGCCTGGACTATCAACACGACGACCATTACTTTGGCTTCCCTTGACACTGCAGCATAGAGAGAGACGGCGACTCTGGTGCGCCAAACGACAAAGTTGGATCCAGGAGTAGCACAACGTCGTCGTCTTTGCAGACGAGTCGAAATTCTTCGTGCAGTAATGCGATGGCCATATACGTGTTTGGAGGCTCCGAGGAGACCGCACGTCGCTTGCTTGCATTCGATATCGGCATAGGGGCTCTGCACCTGGTGTAATGGTTTGGGCAGCCATTAGGTGCACGAACGCACATCTCTAGTTCGGATCGACGGTAATCTGAACGCAGAATTTCGCACCCCTGTAAATCTCCAAACTGCTTACAAATTTAATCTTTTTTTTTTTTTTTTTTTTTTTTTCCATGCCATACTTACAATAAAATACGTTTTTATATTTGCTTTCCTTCATGGCTTATGACTAAATTGTGATGTAATTAATTGCATTAAAATAATAATAAATAGTCCTTTTAAGTCAAAGCTCTCGGGTATAGATTTTTGTGCTTTATATTCTTCAATTTCATCTTAGCTTTCCAAAGATATTATTACACAGCTACATTATTTTTCAAAACGGCGGCCCTTCAAAGTCCTTCTCAAATCTAAATAAATATATATATATATATATAGTTAGCAACATTTTAGTGACATAAGAGATAAAAACGATGAAGGAGGATCTGGTAATATTTTAATTCAGAAACCGCAATTGTAAATTTCCATAGATTCTCTTTATTTAAGCATAATTCGTAAAATATTAAATGCAATCAAGTACAAAGGACTGGTTCAAATACTTTTTTATGGTTTCAAACACACCTTTTATCTAACATAAAGGAGAGAAGTTGAAGACAAGTTTGCCCTTTCAAAGGCAAGCGTTAAAGAGAATGATTATGCTATTGCATTAGATTAAAAAATGGTGAAGTCATTTTATTTCTCAAAGACACAGTATCATTTTATTATCTAATACTAATAAAATAATACATTACTTTTACTTTTGCCATTACATAAAATTTGTATTATAACAGGGGCCAAATTAATACTTTTAAAAGCCCTAACCACTGTAGAGTCACTATATTTTTCGAAGCAGGAAACATGAAAAATTTCCAGTGCTCTCAGCCGGGCTTGCTTTCCAATTGCATCACGAACGCACGCGATAGGGAAAAAGAAAATACTAATTTGAGTCTCAAGACTCAAATTCGCGCTGGCAGAATCACGATCTAAAACAGCTGGTGGGTCAGAATTTTTTCTTCTTTGACAAAAAGAAAATATTTTATTTAGTAAAATAAAAATGTTTTAAATAAATTTATATTTCAGGTACTAAATATTAATTAAAACATACATAAAACTAAAAATAATATCGCAAATGAAAAAAATTGAAAGTTATATTCATATTTTTACCTTAAATCTAAAGTTTGGTATCGGCAAGATGTTTTTGTTGGTTACGCTTTTATAATTCATGTATATTGACGGCTAAATATTAAATGTTTTGACATTTATTTCAAATATAATTGTAACATGTTTAATTACTGAATAAGTAACTTACTTAGTTTAAACTAAAATTATGAGAACTTTTTAAGTTTTCAGAGAACTTTCTAAGTGGGACAAAGCTTGAGAATGAATAGTGGCATCCTAGTGGCTTTCTCTTTTTTATTAAGTTTTTGTAGGAAGCAAAAATAAAAATCTGATGTGTACACTACATGACTTCCTTGTACGTAATATTAAATAATACGCATTTTTTCCTGCACTTCATTTAAACTTATTTCCTCGAATTTCATTAGATTATTTTCTCTTTCTTCTTATTCATATATTCAGTCTTACATTGGTCTCACATTTGCAGCAGGGCAAAAATACTTAAAACCTGAAAATATTTTTATAAAAAATTGAAAAATATAGAAAGCTATAAAACATAAATACAGTTAAAACAATTTAAAGAACAACTTTTACAATTAAAATTAGAGTTTCTACGCAAAATTAAGCAATTCGACCAGCGAGCAAGAAAGGCAAATTTTTCGGTGCACAAAATTGAAAGTTTACTTTTGGTCTCACTCGACAAAAATACACTGAAGGCGTAGAAACGCACTTAATTTATTGGGGACGCTATGCTGAGTCAATCTATGGGATAATTTAATAACTTAAGTATTAATTCCAGAATGGATTAAGCAAAATTTAATTCGCAATAATAAAAGAAGACGTTATCTTTGATCTTGCGAAGCTTAGTTTTTCTAGATTGGCAACAAATCCACTATTCTGCTACGTTTCAAATATAAACAAATATGGCTTCTATGGTAAACAAAAATTAGACTTAGCCGCACTTAAACAACTTTTAAATTAATTTACAAGTCAATCTTTGATCTTGCGAAGCTTAGTTTTCTAGATTGGCAACAAATCCACTAGTCTGCTACGTTTCAAATATAAACAAATATGGCTGCTATGGTAAACAAAAATTAGACTTAGCCGCACTTAAACAACTTTTAAATTAATTTACAAGTCAAACAACAAAAATCAACATTGTATTTGCAAATTTTCAAAGGCTAAGTCTCCATGGTTTTACCGAACCATCATCCTTAGCTGCCAAAGAGCAAATGAGCGAAATAAGACAAGAATGGCTGGACAAGAGTTAAGCTACTGTCACCATCTACTGATGAAACAAGAACACTAAAACATAATTTCCTTGAAGATAATGATTCCTTGATAGTTTGGAAGATTTCCTTGATGGAAGATTTCCTTGATAATTTCCTTGAAGGTAAAGATAGATTGGAATTAGTCTCGTTAACTAGAATGTGAAACGCCTCTAGAAAATCTAATTCACCAATGGAAGATGTTTTTTTAATAATTTTGGCTGCAGAAAAAAAGTGTGATTTTCGGACTAACAATGCTGGACAATAAAGGACTTCTGTGTTTCCTTTTTCCTAACGTGTGCCTCGAAAGGCGAAATTTTAAGGCTCTCATAGTTTGACCAATGTAAATTAAACTACATTGGCAAGGAATCCTGTAAATACCCCAGGAATTCATATCCGGAATGCGGTCCTTAAGTATGGAACTCGGAATTTTATTGATAGACGAATAAACGACCGGAAAGTTAAATTTGTGTAAAATGCGTGCACTTTTATAGCTAATTGATAGAAAGAAAGGAATGACAGCAGAATTCTCATAATCTCCTAAAACAAGAGTGTGCTTTTTGGTGCGTAGAGACGAGGATTTTTTAACAGCTTGGTTCCCAATGATGGGTGAAAAGTGCTTATCAATAGCTACTGCTTTTAAATAATTTAGTTCTTGATCAAGAGACAGTTTCGAGGAGAAAACTCGAAGTGCACGGAAAACAAAGGAATAAAATGAAGCTAACTTTCGGATGTTTAACATGGCGGATGACATGATTTGAAATGTGGTG